AATCCAAAAACAAAAAAATATTTTTGAGACAAGGTCTCACTAAGTCACTAAATTACCTAGGTTAGGCTTACATTTGAGTTCCTTCTGCCTTAGCCTCCCAGAATGCTAGATATAGAATGTATCACCATATCTGGCTTCCTCTTTCATTCTTTTTTTTTTTTTTTAAATTTTTATTTTGGGGAAGGGTCTACAGGGTGTTCAGGGTCTCACTACTAGATGGGACTCGTAGTGATCCACCTGTTTACAGTCTTCCAAGAGCTGGAATTACAGGCGCACACCAGCAAGCCCAGTCTCAATCACCACAGTCTCAGCAATCCCCGGGGGGGGGGGGGAGAGGAGCTGGCACTGTAGGCCTGGGGATCGAACCCTCTCATCCTTTAGAACCTCAAAACACAATATAGTTTTGTGAAGCCAACTTTTACTGAAGGTTACTTAGGAAAGTGGTGATTACAACATAACATAGACTAGGCAACTACTCAAAAATGGTTAATATTGGGCAAGATAGCTCAGCGGACTAAGTGCCTGCTTTGGCAAGTGCAGGGACCAGGGTTTGATCCCCAATCCTGCATGCTGTGCCAGCCCGGCCCCCGGGGCACACTGAGTGAGCAACTGAGTCTGGGGCATGGTGGTGCATGCCTGTAATCCCAGCTCTGGGGAGGCTGAAAAGAAGAGGATCACTCTGAGTCCAAGCTGTGTACTGAGACCCTGTACCAAATACATAAATGAAAAAATGATTATTAGACATCATCCAAAGTTATCCATACTATAGATAATGTGTTAGGGCCTGTCATTTTCTTTAGGAATTCACCTGGTATCTTGTTCATGCTTTCATTCATTCACTAAGTCATTACTTAGAAATGGCCAAGAATCAGGCACAGTATTGTGAGAAAGGGGGAAAACAACCTGATTTGTGATTTTAAAGGACTAGTCTAAAGACTAGGGGTGTAGTTCAATGGTAAAGCACTTTCCCTGCATGTGTGAGGCCTTAGGTTTGATCCACAACACCACAAAAAGAAAACAATACTTCTTATTGTGGAAATAATAGACTGGGAAGGCTGGTAAGTTATCTCTAGTGCAATTCTCTTTTTCATTTTAACCTTCTTCTAAGACCAAGGGTCCCTGCAAAACTTCCCCCTCATCAGGAGAAAATGAAAATTTTGTTTCTTTATTTTTTTTTCCCAGAACTGGGGATTGAACTCAGGCCCATGTGTCTGCCAGGCAGGTGCTTATTCTACTGAGCCATCTCCCCAGCCCAAACAAATTAGTATGCTTTCTTCTCTCTCTCTCTTTTTTTTTTTTTTTTTTTTGTGGAACCAGGGTTTGAACTCAGATCCTTGCATTTGCCAGTCAAGCGCTTATCCTACTGAGCCATCTCCCCAGCCCCTGTTTCTTTATTAATTAGAATGATTTAATTCTATTCTTTCCATTTAAACCATGATTTTACTTTCATAAACACACAAGTTTAAATTGTTTTCCTCAAAATAGGTGTCACCTTAGCCAGTTTTCAGTTGATGAAACAGAGGATCAAGTTAGTTGTGATCATGCCTTAGTCTAGGATCTCATCTTCATACCTTCACTCTGCTAATAGCTTCTTTGCTTCTCATCTAACACGCTACACTGGCCCTTCACCTTTTTCTTTAGAGAGAGCTTTGAATTGGCAAATCTCATTAGCTCACAATACCTGCTCTTCACTAAATACTTCTGGCTTTTGCCTTCTGCATGTGTGGGAGTGTTTTATTTCCTAGCCTTCTTACGATTAGGTATGGCCAATAGATTTGAGCAGAAGAGATACATTACTTCGTGCCTACAGTGTTTATTTATTATAAGACTCCTCTGACTCCCCTTTCCTCTGGCATGACAGCCATCAACATTTTGGATGTTGCTTGTGTTATCAGCCTAGCTGCCTCAATAAGTGATAGGCAAGAGCCCTCTGTGAGTCCATAAATAATAAGCAGCATGATCAAGAAATAAACCTTCTTAGTATCAAGTCATGGAGTTTATACACTTCTATTGTTCATTCAACCTAGCCCAAAGTAACTAAGTAGAAGCTTTTTTATGTTTTTATTTTTATTTTTAGTGCAGGGCTTTGCACATGCTAGTCCAGTGCTCAACTCCTGAAATATACAATTAGCCTTATTATCATTTTTAATAAAGGGAAAAAAGCCTGGTTGTAATAGCCCACATTTGTAGTTTCAGCACTCAGAAGAATGAGATAGGAGAATTGTAAGTTCAAGGCCAGTCTGGACTACATTGCAAGACCTTGTCTTAAAAACAAAAACCAAAAACAAATGGTAGAGGAAATAAATACATTTTTCAATTCCTGAGGATATAGATTAAATAAACTTCGCTTCCAACACACAGTATTTTTTGAGGTCTTGCATTTTCCCTTGATAATTCTTACAAAAATGTTTACTCTATTCCATAATATACTATATTATAATTCCATAATGTACTGTGTTATAATAAAATTGTAGAACATTAGTTTTCTATCTATCCTAGCAGAATAGATTCTTTTCCATTTATGGAAAGAATTGTAAAATCCTATCATATTATGCTTCACTCCTAGATAATTTCTCTTCTTCATTTATAAATCAGAGTATTTTTCAACTACAGCTCACCTAGATAAGAGGCCAAAACAAAAATCTGTTTTTGAAGCTGTTATATTAGTGTAACTATGGTAGTAAGTATTTAGACTATTACCCAAAAGGGGGCAGGGTGAATAATCTTGAACTATTGCAGAAAAGATTTATATTAGTATAGGGGCCTGGGAGATGGCTCAGTGGAATAAGCGCTTCCCTAGCAAACGCAAGAGCCTGAGTTCAATCCCTGGTTCTGGAAAAAAACAAAAAAATAAAAAATAAAGATTTATATTAGTATATATTCTACCTAATTGGTCAAATCTCTTGGGTCATGCAATGAACTAAAACTGTTTTGGACCCTCTGGTCAATCCCTTTACCAATTCAGGGTGATAGTAACAAAATGGCTTTTTCATTAGGTAAGCTGGATAATTATGCTCTGCCTTTCACTGTCAGTTCTGTACTATTTGTCACATTAAATGCACTAAGGTTCTTGATGAATAACAGTCCATTAAATCAACTTTCTTCCTATAACTCTCAGAGCTTTTTTAGTGTAGTGTCACAAGTATTAGTAAGTCCCCACTGCCTTGTAGGGCATTGAATTTGCAGCCTTGAAAACAAATCTGCCCTGGAATCCAGTTCTAGGGACCTCCACTACCTACCTTTCTCTCCTGTGCTTGCATATTTCCATCTATAGCTTGGCTGTCTCGGAAGCACCTCCATTTGCCTCTGCTAAGGATGCTCACATTGACAAAGCCAGTGTCTTTCCAAGGGCTCACAGCACCAGCACTGCCCAGGATTCCAGGGAACCAGCAGTTAGCAGTCACTGGTCCCTTAGGCAGAGAGAATAGCCTTTCCTGTACTCTGTCACACCTTTTTCATGTGGTTCCAAACTAGCCCTACTTATATACACTCTCACAAAGTCTTAGATAGTGTGGCCTTAAGGACTCAAATGTCAGGGACCCCTGCTGTGAGCTTCTAATTTCTTGCAAGGTATCATACACAGATAAAATGAACAAAAGACAAAATGGTGACGCAGCAGGGATCTGAGATGGCCAGTTGTTCACCAGGAACAAAAGGCCATGAGGCAACTAGAACCTCGTATTTATTGATCACATTCACATTGAGCAAAATGGTGAGGGGATTAGTGGATGACTTCTAGGCAATGGTAGGGAGAGGTGGCAGGTTAATAAGATGCTTATTTGTTCCTCCAGGAGAAACTTTTATTTTTTTTATTTTAAGGAAGGGTCTACAGGGTGTTTAGGGTCTCACTACTAGATCAGACTTGGACTGATCTTCCTTTTTACAGCTTCCCAAAAGCTGGAATTACAGGTGTGCGCCACCACACCCAGTCTCAATTGCCATCTCAGTGAACCCTGGGGGTGGGGCTGTCAGAGCTGGTGGGAGGGACTGAACTCCTAGCCCCCTGTGCCTGCTTGCAGGTACTTTACTCAGCTGAGTTATTTGGCTGGCCTTGAGAAACTTTTTTTATTACTACTTGGTTC